AAAAGTGCATAATATTTTCTTCATTTTTATACTATTTTATGAAAAGTGTCACTTTTCAGAAAACTCCAAAAAATACTTATGAATGCAAAAATACTCATAAAAATTTCAGCAACCAGCTCACAAAAGTTCATTGTAATATTCAGTGTTTTAATAGGATGCCCTATTGACCTGCAAAATTTAGCCTTAAAGGGCCCAATCATGGAAAACTGAATTATCCACACTTTTATTAATTTGACGCAGTAAACAGTGTGAGAGTTTCAAAATATAATACATATTCCTCGGCTCATGTTTAGAATTTAGCTCATGTTCAGAATTCATTGTTTTTGTAATGTCATCAAAACCAATGCATTTGTATATCTGTCCATTCAGCCTACAGCAGTTTAGCACTGCCCACTCACACTGAAAAAACAGGGCAGCCAATCAGAACAGAGGCCTTGTACATGTATCAGTCTTAATGACACAGCAACAAAAACAGCCTGATTAATTCTAAAGGACAAAAAGAGTTTGGAAAATGCTTGTGTAAAAATATATTATGACTTTTTTTTATACATTAATGTTATAAGTGGAACTTGAAACAGGATGGTTCTCAAAATGCTTACTAGAATGCTGGTTATTATGTATGTATTAAGATGAGGTTCTCTAGTTTACTCCAGATCTGCTTGGTCTGCTTTGCCTTCATTTCATGAACTTTGGCTCCACCTGTTGATCAGACCAATGATTCAAATGAATGGGGAAGTGTTTTTGTACAGCTCTGTCACTGTTTTCTATCACTGTGACTCTCTTGCACAGTAATACACAGCAGTGTCTTCACTCTTCAGGCTGCTCATCTGTAAGTACAGCTGACTGCTGGAGTCGGATCTGGAGATCGTGAATCTTCCCTGGACTGACTGGGAATAGCGGATGGGAGAGCTGGATGTTCCAAGAGTAGCAATCCATTCTAGTCCTTTTCCAGGAGCCTGTCTGACCACACCTGCCCAGTAGCTACTGAATGTGTATCCAGATGCTGTACAGGTCAGTTTATGAGATTCTCCAGGTCTTTTAACTACAGCTTCAGACTGGATAAAGGTTTGGCACAGAACACCTGTGGAACAGAAACCTGTAAATTAAACCAGTGTTGCAATAATAATAAAATCAATTCAAATATTGATTATTGACTTAATCTCACCATTCAGAAACATTGTTATTAATAGCAAATTCACAGTAAGCTCCATAGTTGATCGATCTTTCTTATTTCACAGCTGTGGAATCAGGCAGTGCGTCTTGTAGAAGTCAAAGATTCAGCATCATATATAAGAGGAAGATGAGTTTGCATGGATCCTCCTCACTGACTTCAAGCACCAATAAAGAGCCTGAGAACACAAACTCTTCATCTACAGGTCATTAAATGCAGTCACCAAAAGGGAATTTAGACAGTCTTTGATTTCATAAATGATGTTTTAGTGAAATTCCATTATATTTATATAAGTACAGTACAGACTTTCTTCATTTTTCATCATAAAAAACATAAAATATATTATAATATATTATAATACATAAAACATAAAATATATTTCAATAATAATGTGGTAGAAGTGAGGTTATTTAAAGCTATTTTACAGCCTAAAAAGTTTTTGAAACAGTGTCTATTGGAAATGTTTCAATAATTTAGTTACATGCTTTTCGACATCCAATGTAAGTTTATACTCTCTGCCAGTTAATGTAAGTCTGGTAAACATAATTTTTATGACATGCATAAGAGGAATCTACAGCACTGTGCCTAAGTCCAATGTTCATTTATTTAATCCAGTCAAAATAGCCTTTAAGTACAAGTTATTCACTTTTCAGGGGATATTTCCAAGGAAATCAGATACAAGATTTAAGTTAGTGTGTCCTTTTACAAGACTCACTTTCAGCACCTCTAAAATTCAGTCTTAGAAGTTGTTTTTGCATTTTCCACATCTCATGATAGAAGTAATCCAAAACACATTCAGTAATACTGAGGTCTGGACTCTGGGGTGGTCAGTCCATTGTTCTGAGAACCCCAGCAGCTTCTTGATTTGATTTGTCTATGCTGTTTTCTCAGTGAGGGCATCTTGACAGCTGCACATCCTTTCAGACCCACGGCATTGACTCTATAGTATAGTCTCTCTATTTAAATGAGAAAGTCACAATGAAAATGGTCAGGTTGTACAGTCCTCTGTAAAGGTTAAAGACCTTTTTTATTTCTTGCCAAATCAGTCATCAAGTAAAAATTATCATTCAGCATAAAGCAGGAAGCATTTTCTTAACAGACAATTACACAGAAGCATCAATGACAAAATTTAATTTCAAATTGTCAGTATTTAGTGTGCCCACTCTGCCTTTATTATAGCTTGCATTCTTTTCAAATCTGCAGGTAGATTTTTCCACACCTTCAAAGTTCAGTCTTAGACGTTGGTTGCACTTTCTGCTTTTAATGATCCAAATAATCTCAAAACACATTCGGTGATGTTGAGGCCTGGACAGAAATACCTGTGGATTTTTTCAGATCTGAAGCAGGAGGGGTGCTTGATTTTCACCTGTCTCAAGCTTTACGTTTATGTGATGGGGACAACTTTTTTTTAAACTTATTTTTATATTACTTTTCCCTTCCTCATGCGAGTGATCTTATCTTTACTCCTCAAAAATAGCTCCTAAAAATGTAATTAATGGCCATTTTGACTGAAAATTAAGTAAATGAAGGGTGAGCTCTGACTGCAAAAATGAATAAAACAAAAGCTTAGCAAAATGCTGAGAATCTTATAACAACTAAAAACAATAACAGACCAAGGTGTGAAGCAGGTTTTGTATCTGTGCATGAATTCAACACTAATTTTTAAAGTGTTTTCCTGTAATTCATGCAACATGGACACTTACTGTATGCTGTATGCTGCAACAGTAAAAGCACTGAGAGTTCATCATTGTTCCTTATTAAACTGAACTGAATGAAGCTGGTCTTCTCCTCCTCGCCAACACATACTGACCTTATGTAAAAGAGGCACTTGGAAGATTTGCATATAGCATAGTTATTATTGCATCAAACACATTGGATTTCACTATGCAAAAGTCAGAGACCACCCTTTTGTTTCTTAATTTTTAGTCAAAAGAGCCATTAAATGGGAATTTATTCCACAGATTTTTCAAAATTCCTTCATAATTCAGTCTTTGAGATGTAAACAAAGTTATTCAGAGTGGTTTGATGTGAAATCGTTCACTGTAAGGAAACTGACTCCATTACAGTGGTGATGATAGGAACCTGAGGTTGTGATAGGCATTTTATTTACTAGGGACTCCAGCGAACCACAGTCAGAGCCATTATCCACAAATGGAGAAAACCTGAAACGGTGGTGAACCTCCCCAGGAGTGGCCAGCCTACCAAAATTTCAGCGAGACCGCGTTGATGTCTCATCAAGGAGGCCACAAAAGAAACCAGACGAACATCTAAACAACTGCAGGCCTCACTTGACTCAATTGATTTCATTGTCATCCATGGGAGAGATGTAAGGCGCAAAGCACTGCTGACCAAAATGAACACAAATTCTCATCTCACATTTGCCAAAACACATCTAGATGACCCCCAGGAATTTTGGGATAATATTCTGTGGACTGACAAGTCAATGGTAGAACTTTTTAGACGACATGGGTCCCATTACATCCGGTGTAAAGTTAACACTGCATTCTACCATAAGAACATCATACTAACAGTAAAACATGGTGGTGGTAGTGTGATGGTCTGGAGCTGCTTTGCTTCTGCAGGACATGGACGACTTGTCATAACTGATGGAAACATGAATTCTGCTCTCTATCAGAAAATTTTGAAGGAGAATACCTGGCCGTCAGCTTCTGACCTAAAGTTCCAGCGAGTTATGCAGCAGGACAATGATCTGAAGCACACAAGCAAGTCCACCTCTGAATAGCTGAAAAGAAACAAAATGAAGGGTTTGGAGTGGCTGAGTCCTGACTTGAATTCCATTGAGATTCTTTAGCAAGACCTTAAATGGGCAGGTCATGCTCAAAAACCCTCCAATGTAGCTGAATTAAAACAATTCTGCAAAGAAGAGTGGGGCAAAATGCCTCCACAGCAATGTGAAAGACTTGTTGCAAGTTATCACAAAAGTTTGATTGTAGTTGTTACTACCAAGGGTGGCATAAGCAGTTATTAGATTTAAAGGGGTAATTGCTCTTTCACATGGATGATATACATTTTGAATAAATCTTTCTTTTGAATAAATCAAATAATCAAATAATTGTAAAACGATACAGAGAAAATGGATGTAACACCCTTGCAAGACCTGGTAGACACCAAAACTGCTCCCATCACATAAACAGCACTTAAAGCTTTCGTCTTTGAGAGAGAGGAGAAAATCAAGCTGCTTCAGATCTGAAAACATCCACAGGTGTTTCTGTCCATCGTTCCACGTGAGAAGACAACTCAGCGCTATGGGTCTGAAAGGATGTGTACCTGTCAAGAAGCCTCAATGAGAAAAGGAAAAAGACAAAAAAGAAGAATCAAGTAAGAAAGCTGCTGGTGTTCTCGGAACAAAGGGCTGACCACCCCAGAGTCCAGACCTCAACATCAGTGAATGTGTTTGGGATTACTTAGATCGATAGAAGCAGACAATGTGAACCAACTTTGAAGACTGAACTTTGGATATGTAGAAAAATATCAATGAAGATTTCTCAGGAAACTTCTGAAAAGAATGGAAGCTGTAATAAAGAGAGGACACAATAAACAGTGAAAAATATGACATTATTATGTATTATGACAAAATTATGTTTTTTTTCCAGTGACACTGAAAAACGACTGTTCGCATATGCATCAAAATGTGTCAAATTAATCTAGTTATAAGTTTGTTGTCCACATTTGAACAATTATGTTTGGCCTCAAAAGAAGTATATGTAGTTACTGACTGTCACTAAAGCACTTTACTGTGAATAATACGTTTAGATACCAAAACTGAAAACAATTTTAGGCTGAACTATCTTTCAGTTTATTTAAACATCTATTGTGTTTCCTGTGTGAGGGGGTTATTGTACAGGTCCCTTGGCAGTTTATACCAGTGTGCATCTCGAGCGCAGTAATACACAGCTGTGTCCTCAGGCTGGAAGCTTTGGCCCTGTAAAAGCACTGTGTTGCTGGACGAGTCTGCAGTGAAGCTGATCTTGCTCTTAAGTGAGTCTATGGTCCCAGTTTCACTGGAGCTTTTGAACCATCCAAGCCATTCTGGCGCTTTTCCTGCTGAGTGTCGTACCCAGTTGGTGTAGCCTCCACCTACGGCTGTATATCCAGTAATCTTACAAGTGATGGAGAAAGACTGTCCAGGTTTAACAACCATGGCAGCAGGCTGAACCAGCTCAATACATTCAACACCTGCGGACAACAATTGTGAAATTATTCAATATTCAATTAGAATTGTGAAGTTATTAGTAGTCTACCAGTAACTTGAAAGTGTAGCAACTGTGGCAGCATGTTTTAATCCACTTACAGGATGCAGCTGTTAGCAGCAGCAGTAGACGTGTAGGTGTGGAGATCATGGTTTGTGTGGAAGCTGAACTCAGAGGAGCTGCTCAGTGATCTGGTGAAGTTGAGCTTAAGTAGTTTTACTGGATGCTGGATTTGCATGATGGTGTTTGCACTTTCACTCACATGTAGAAGAACAGCATATCATTACTGTCCTATGAGCCCTCATATTCAGAGGCTGGATTAATATGACCCAGTAGCTGGATAGCTACACCTGGCAGTCCTGGAAGTGGGAAGGGAGCATGGTCTTGTCTGCATTGTCTCCACTGTCACTGAGATTGACCCAGTTACTAACCCAGTGACTGGGCTACACATACCTGCCGAGCAGATACCCATTGTAATACTGTAAATTGAGGCCTGTGGGAGGCGCTCTTTGTCTGTTTTAACAGCCTTATACCAAATGGAGGGTTAATTGGAGGAGAGAAACAGTAGATGCAAACACATGGTCTCCTGGGATTTATATCAAACTGATAATATCCATTAACGGTTTTACAATAGGGTCTGACTGGGCTACACATAACTACCCAGCAGATATCCATTATAATCCAATCATAATTAGATTTCTGCAGTTATCTGATTATTCAAATGGTCATGTAAACAGCACACTCTGATTTCTCAGATTGGAGTAAGGTCTAGAAATACAGTAAAGAAATGTGATACATTGGCTGGATTTTAGCTCAGTAATCAGATTTCTTTCGGATTTCTCAGTCTGTGCTTGTGCGAAAGCCACGGTACCGGAAATAAGCAAGCAGCGTTGCCGCGAGACGGGGGCAAAACACTTTTGGAACAACTCTGAAACCAACTACATACTTGATGAAATCAAGGATTTAAATATTCTTCATTTTCTACATGATGTATGTTCATATTTTCAGGTAAAGTTGCGCAATTTAAGCCGCTGCATGAAGTTAGAGTTTTACGCTCACGTCACGTCTTCTTCTGTGAGTATATTGGCCACTTGCAAAGCAGAAATCGGATTACTGCCTGACTCATGTAGACCCGAGGTTTTCCATTATCTGATTACTCAAGTGCATCGGATTACTGACAAAAACTAATTTTCTGCAGTTATCGGATAATCAAGTGCACGTAGACACACTGATTGAAACACATCATAGGTCTTAATAGTAAGTGAAATAACACAGTAGTGAGCATTTGTATTTAAGTGCTAACTGTGTTTAACTTGCTGTACAAGCAGCCTTATTTAGCTATTTCTGCATTTTTGAGGTGAGGATACAGTAACATCACTAGTACATGACCAATAAGTTACTGACTTTCACGGAAGCACATCATGGTGGGCAGTGGGTTTAGTTACCATAAAGTAAAATGAATTAAAAATTGTCCTTTAGTTCAGTGAAATATCTATTGTGTTTCCTGTGTGAGGGGGTTATTGTACAGGTCCCTTGGCAGTTTATAGCAGCGTGTTTCCCGAGCGCAGTAATACACAGCTGTGTCCTCAGGCTGGAAGTTCTGGCCCTGTAAAAGCACTGTGTTGCTGGACGAGTCTCCAGTGAAGCTGATCTTGCTCTTAAGTGAGTCTATGGTCCCAGTTTCACTGGAGCTTTTGAACCATCCAAGCCATTCTGGCGCTTTTCCTGCTGAGTGTCGTACCCAGTTGGTGTAGCCTCCACCTACGGCTGTATATCCAGATATCTTACAGGTGATGGAGAAAGACTGTCCAGGTTTAACAACCATGGCAGCAGGCTGAACCAGCTCAATGCATTCAACACCTGTGGACAATTGTGAAATTATTCAATGTTCAGTTAGAATTGTGAAGTTATTAGTAGTCTTGGAAGTGTAGCAACTGAAAGCAGTATGTTTAAATGCACTTACAGGATGCAGCTGTTAGCAGCAGCACTAGACGTGTAGGTGTGGAGATCATGGTTTGTGTGGAAGCTGAACTCAGAGGAGCTGCTCACTGATCTGTTTAAGATGAGCTTAAGTAGTTTTATTGAGTGCTAGATTTGCATGACAGTATTTGCACTTGCAGTATATCAGCACTGCCATGAAAAACCCTTTTATCTCAGAAACAATGACTCATAGAAGAAAGAAAAATGTGCTGAACTCTAAAGTATGTTGTTCAGTGAACCCAGAACAATTTTTATTGGCCCATTCACTATGAAATATTCACATAAGGGAACACTGTTAGAAATAAAGGTTCTGTTCAGGTACATTTTTCGTTCATCAAGGTGCAAACAATGTAAATGTTCCCTCAAAGGTGCTACAGTGGTTTTAAGGGCTAATTGTGAAACTTAAATAAGTTTTTCCAGGTGAAAATGTTCGTATTTGTACCTTTTCATAACCTAAATGTTTTAAAACAGAACAGTAAAATAAAAAGCCTGGAGACGAGACGTGGTGTGTGGAGTCAATACAACTTAAAAAAATATAATTTCAATGAATTATGGTGCAATTATGTTCCCTGACTAAAGGTACTGAGATCTACCCTTGAGATGATTATCAGTTTAATTTAAGAATATGGAGATCGTGTGTTTACATTCACTGACCACCCTTCCTCTTTTTTAAACTTCCATGTGCAACAAAGCTGTTAAAAATAAAGAAAGAGCGCCCCTCAGTGGCCTCAAAGAGTAACGATATCAATTATGCCAAAGTTTTATTTTTTGATGTTGTAGAAGTAATAAATACAGAGCCTTATAGAATTATTAGCACTTTTAGCAAGAAAGTTCTGAAAAAATGTTTTTTTTGTCATTTTTCATTAGACTTAATATTAGAGGTAATAAAATATTAAATGAATTATTGCCATTTTTATTCATGTTCTGTCTGAACTAATGCTTCCTTTTCCATTAAACTCTTTCTTTTTTGTTAAACAATGTGTTTAATGTTATTTAGGTTTTTTGTTTGTTTGTTTTTTTGGGTTTTTTTTTCTCTATACAGTTTGTTTACATCATTTTACTGCTTAATTTAAACAGATTATGAAGCACATTGAGCCATGCTAACATGTATGGGAAATTATTAGATAAACAGAGTTAATGTTATTGTTATCACATGACAGAAACAAGATGATTGAAAGAAAAATTTAAACGCTTTGTATGTGAAACAGCTTAAAAGAGATACACATACACCGATCAGGCATAACATTATGACCAACTCTTGTTTCTACACTCATTGTCCATTTTATCAGCTCCACTTACTATATAGGTGCACTTTGTAGTTCTACAGTTACAGACTGTAGTCCATCTGCTTCTCTGCATACTTTGTTAGCCCCCTTTTACCCTGTTCTTCAGTGGTCAGGACCCCCATGGACCCTCACAGAGCAGGTACTATTTGGGTGGTGGATCATTCTCAGCACTTCAGTAACATTGACGTGGAGGTGGTGTGTTAGTGTGTGTTGTACTGGTCTGAGTGGATCAGACACCGCAGTGCTGCTGGAGTTTTTAAACACCTCAGTGTCACTGCTGGACTGAAAACAGTCCACCAACCAAAAATAGAACTGATAAAATGGACAATGAGTGTAGAAACAAGGAGGTGGTCATAATGTTATGCCTGATCAGTGTATCTATACACTAAAGTTGTATTTGTTAGGGCATTAATAATTCCTCTGTATGTGTTTGTATAGTATATTGTCGCAAAATCTGTTTTTCAAGCTAAACTGTAATGTACCAGTTTTGATGCAGCTGCACCACAGTTCCAGAGTGAAATCCCACTAGAACTGAAGACACTAGCTGTTGTGTTTTTGTACAGCTGCAACAGCAGGTTGAATAACTGTGTCTGTCGAGCGCAGTAATACACAGCGCTGTCCTCAGACTGGAAATTCTGCCCTGTTAAAAACACTGTGCTGCTGGAAGCGTCTGCAGTGAAGCTGATTTTGCTCTTTAGTGAATCCTTCACTGAACTGCTGCTGCTACACACAACTCCAATATATTCCATTGGCTTTCCTGCTGGATGCCGTATCCAATAAGGACAGTAGCTGGATATGGAGAACCCAGACACTTTACAGGAGATCTTAAAAGACTCTCCGGGCCGCACAACCACATTTTCAGACTGGATCAGTTCAATAGAATGAACACCTGCAAAACAGCAACACAACATGTGTCTTTGGATTTTTATGAAAGCAAATTCAACCTTGTTAAATATCGTCTTTGTTATATTCAACCTTTTTTTTACATTGTTTGAACATTTCATGATGAACAGACCAATAGAACTGGTCCAAAAACTACTTGATTACATTAATTTTTCCTTCTCCTCTAAATGTACCATTTCACAGAGGCAATGATGTCTAACAGTATCGATGGTTAAGAGCAGTATAAGCAATGAAGTAATGTTATTTCAATACCACTTACAGGACGCAGCTGCCAGAAACAGCAGAAGAGAAACAGAGGACATGATGTTTAGCACTGGTGGAGGTTCTGCTCTGTGATCTCTACAGTGCTGAGGGCCTTTTATTATGCCTGTCTGTTCTGCTTTTGACGAACAATGTAGGTAATTTACATCAACGGAAACATGTATCAAATCTGGGTCAAATCACATTCAACCTCTTCTTTTCCCAACTGAATTATCAGGCTTTGTGTACATGACATGTTTATGAACAATGCAGTAACACTCAGTTTAAGTACATTCATTAAATACATTCATTAATGAGTAACACAAGTACAATGTAATGAACTGAAAACAGTGATGCTTTTGTATACTTAAGTGTTGTTGAGTATATCACTGCTGTCGGAAGAAAACCTTGTATCTCCATTTTTGTTGTTTTTCTGTTTTTGAAAATGCTTGTTGCTCTTTATATTGTGTGTAAATTTCATGAAGCATGGACCAAAAGAAATGGCCCAAAACAACTTGGAAACAATTCTGGTTCCATTGACTTACACTAAAAGTAAAGTGTGTTTTTTCCTTCTCCTGTAAAGTTACCATTTTGGAGATACGAGGTTTTCTTCCATCAACAACGAAATTCAAATCTGTTTAGGGAGTAAACAGCCTATGACACTATGCACATGGTAAGTCTTCTCAAGAGAGATCCAAACTCCACTCCTTAGTGTTCAAAGTGTTTTAAGTATTCATTCATATAATTATATGAAATTCAAACAAATTAAAACACTCATACATGAAGTATTTCTACAGCAAAGTACAATAATATTATGGTACAACTCCATTGCTGCTCTGGCTCTGTGTGAGATGAATCTCTTTTGTACAACCTTGTTCTGCAGTAACAGTGCATGGAGCTGACAGTGTTTCATTGAAGTTACAGTGAAGGTAGGAGGCTAATGGCTCATTATCCAGCTGAAACTATTATAATATTGAGCTCATACTGTTTGATTCAGGACTAAACTGCAAGCCAGTGAGCTGGAAACTTGTGTGTATTGTACAGGAATGTGACATCATCCGTTTCTTTTTATCCATCATGAATGTTTTTGAGCATTACAGAAGGAGGGAAAGGCAATATGGATGTCTTTTGAATATTATGTGCTTAGAATTTTTCATTTTAAAAAGCACCACTGACCACAGAATCAAGCTTTTGACATGGCCATCACAGCCCGCTGATCTGGAGAGGCTCAGGTTCCTTGCTATGTATTCTCAACTCATTGATGATCTGCCAGCAAAGGGAGGTTACACAAAGTACTGACTGCACAACGCAAGGAGTTCTAGTTTTATTAAAGCATAAAAAAATAATAATGATAAAAATTGAGGTTTGACAAAAGAAATCAAAAAAGTTTTGCGACTTTACGTGTGTTTGGGTCTTATGTCACTATTCTGCAGACTCAGGATTCAAACTGAGACTTGCCTTTATTGACTCAGGACTGAACTTGAGATTTGCTTTTATTGACTTGGACCTCAACCTGAGACTTGCTTTTACTGACTCGAGACTCAACATGGCATTTGCCTTTATTGACTCGAGACTCAACATGAAACTTGCCTTTATAGACTCAAGACTGAATTTGAGACTTGCCTTTATTGACTCAGGACTCAACTTGAGGCTTGCCTTTATTGACTCAGGGCTCAACTTCATACTGGCCTTATTGATTTGGGACTGAACTTCTGACTTGACTTTACTGACTCAGGACTCAACTTGAAACTTGCTTTTATTGACTTGGGACCAATATTGAGAATTACTTGTAGTGACTCTGGATATATCTTAAAACGTGTCTGCATGATTTGAGACAGTGAAACTTGTCTGGACTGACTCAAGCCTCAACTTCAGGCTTGCCTGTATCGACTCAAGACTGAACATGAGACTTGCTAATGTGGCTCAGGACTTAACGTGAGACTTGCCTGCGTTGACTCAAGACTCAGATTAAGACTTTCCTTTATTGACTCAAGACTCATCTTCAGAATTACCTGTATTGACTCAGGATTCAACTTTAGACTTGTAATTATGACTCTGGACTTGACTTGAGACTTGCCTGTACTAACTCAAGACACGACTTAAGATTTGCCTGAATTGTCTCGCGACTCAACTTGAGATTGCCTGTATAGACTCGAGATTTCAGACTTACTAGTATTAAGATTGGACTTGAGTGTGAAGACTTGTTACTGGCAACTCAATGACTTGTTCTCACCTCCATAAATTTCTAGAGTGAGACTGAGCTAATTAACCATGAAGACAGTTTTTCATCACATTTTTCTACCCATTTTTACCAACAGTGAAATGATTATGGACTTGACTGTGTATGCATTTATGCATTAAGAGGGTTATTGTACAGGTCCCTTGGCAGTTTATAGCAGTGTGTGTACCGAGCGCAGTAATACACAGCTGTGTCCTCAGGCTGGAAGTTTTGACCCTGTAAAAGCACTGTGTTGCTGGACGAGTCTGCAGTGAAGCTGATCTTGCTCTTTAGTGAGTCTTTGGCCCCAGTATTGCTCGTACTGCAGAAATATCCTATCCATTCTGGCGCTTTTCCTGCTGAGTGTCGTATCCAGTTAGTACAGGCACTCACAGCTGAATATCCAGTAACCTTACAGGTGATGGAGAAAGACTGTCCAGGTTTAACAGCCATGGCAGCAGGCTGAACCAGCTCAATACATTCAACACCTGTGGACACCAAGCATGAAATGATTCAATACGACATAACAGTCTCTAAAAAACTATTAGTAGCCTTTCAGTATATTAAACGTGTAGAAACAGTGTCAATATGTTCCAGATACACTTACAGGATGCAGCTGTTAGCAGCAGCAGTAGACGTGTCGGTATGGAGATCATGGTTTGTGTGGAAGCTGAACTCAGAGGAGCTGCTCACTGATCTGTTTGATCTGTCTACTGGCTTAAGTAGTTTTACTGGATGCTGGATTTGCATGATGGTCTTTGCACTTTCACTCACATCCATAAGAGCAGCATATCATCACTGTCCTAACAAACCCAAAATAACATGTTCTAAACTTATGTAAATGGCAATGTTTTGATGACAGTGATTTTTTCATCAGAATGATTTTGGAGCAACAATTCTTTTGGTCTATTAATTATAAAATATCCATACATTGTAAAGGGAAGCTGGTGCAGCTATGAGGTTTTTCATAGGATAGCAATGATAGATTCAGCTACAAACAGTACTGTGCAGAAGTCAGAGACTAGTTATCTAGTTATAAAGGACAAAAACCAATATATATATATATATATATATATATATATATATATATATATATATATATATATATATTGGTATATAATGTATATAATGGATACAATCATTTGATAATGCACTCTTCCTCCTTTTAAACTTCAATAAGGTATAAGGTTGTGAAAAATAGAGCAAGAGCGCCCCTCGGGGGCCAAAAGGTTCATGATATTTTTTTATGCTTATAAATTCACTGTGTTGTTGGTGTATTTGTGACACATATAGAGTCCTCTAGAAATTACAGGCAGTGAAATACTTCTGAAAACTGTGTATAGTTCTCCAAATCTCAATTTAGGAAGGCACTAAAAAGGGAAACTACTTTTAATTATTATGCTTTTCGTTTTTATTAATACATGTGTGATTCATAACAATGAAAATCTTAAAAATGCCATTTAAATGGTGACAGAGTGCAAGAAAATTTAAATGAGAAGCAAACATCTGTTTAAAAATGTGTATGACACAATTTTACATTGTTGCTCTCAACATTAAACAGAGTTTATTAGACTTTCTCTGAGCTCATCTTTTATTAGAACTTCTATTCGTTTCAGGAATGTTTGTGTTCTGCTTCTCACAATCCATGTTATTTGAATAATACCAAACTCTTTGAGTGATGTTGAGGTCTGGACTCTGGGGTGGTCAGTCCATTGTTCTGAGAACATCAGCAGCTTCTCGGTTTGATGGGAGAACATGCAAACTACACACAGAAAGGACCCTGGTCACTGGCCAGAAATCGAACCCAGGCCCTTCTTGCTCGGAGTGTGCTTACTGACACATGCTTTTGAATTAACCCCTTAAAAGGCCAGGGCCCACCGGTCAGCCCAAAGTTTTATTACACACTTCTATAAGCTAACAGTGGCTCAACTACTTTCCACTGGTGTCTCAGTAGTTCCTGAATAATAAGCCTTAGTATGTAATAAGCCTGGGATTTTAGGAGGTTAGGGTTCATCAGGTACCTATATATATATATATTATTAACAATAATACTAATACTAATATGTGCAATACATTCAGTGTTATATCAAATGACCGAAATAAATTGATGAACAGTAAAAAATATAAATAGTCTATATGTGATCTGCTAAGAACAATTCATGCACTTACTGTAATACGCAAAAACACTTAACAATGGCACTTTTCAATAAAGTATACTGCACAATTCTATTTATTTGGATTGACCAAATCACTTGGAATAAAATCTTGCATCAACAATTAACAGAATTTTGCCTTCTGACTAATAAGGAGCTTTTTTTTTGTACATATGTATAAATATGTACAAAGCAAAATATTTTGTATACCATTTTTAATGCAGATGCAAATTAAGATCCCACTAGAACTGAAGACACTAGCTGTTGTGTTTTTGTACAGCTGCAACAGCAGGTTGAATAACTGTGTCTGTCGAGCGCAGTAATACACAGCGCTGTCCTCAGGCTGGAAATTCTGCCCTGTTAAAAACACTGTGCTGCTGGAAGCGTCTGCAGTGAAGCTGATTTTGCTCTTTAGTGAATCCATCACATAACTGCTGCTGCTACATACATATCCAATATATTCCATTGGCTTTCCTGCTGGATGCCGTATCCAATTAGGATAGTAGCTGGATATGGAGAACCCAGACACTTTACAGGAGATCTTAAAAGACTCTCCGGGCTGCACAACCACATTTTCAGATTGGATCAGTTCAATAGAATGAACACCTGCAAAACAGCAACACAACATGTTATATTTTATAGAAAACAAATTCAACCAAAACAAAGCAATTGTTATATGCCGTTCTTGGTGTTTTCAAACCTTTTTAAAAGTATTTAGCTTTAAAAGAAAAACACCAGCTGTCATTTATCTTGTGTGAAAATGTCACGGTGACTTGAAAAGCAATATTGTTACATTAATGTATATTAAATTTAAGAAGAGCAGCATAAGCAATAACATAGTGTTATTTCAATAACACTATTAAAAACACTTACAGGACGCAGCTGCCAGAAACAGCAGAAGAGAAACGGAGCTCATGATGTTTAGCACTGGTGGTGGTTCTGCTCTGTGATCTCTACAGCACTGAGCTTTTATTATGCCTGTCTGTTCCTGCTTTGATGACAAAAGGAGGTGATTTACATCAATGTAAACATGTATCAAATCTGGGTCAAATCACATTCAACCTTCTTCTCCCAACTAAATAAATTATTAATGACACTGACCATTTAAAAGCAAAAAGGAACCATTCAGCATCCAAGAGGAACCACTCGAACCTGTCACAGCAACTCCTGACAAAAACTCCAGCAGCACTGCTGTGTCTGATCCACTCGTACCAGCACAACACACACTAACACACCACCACCATGTCAGTGTTACTGCAGGGCTGAGAATGATCCACCACCCAAATATTACCTGCTCTGTGAGGGTCCATGGGGGTCCTGACCACTGAAGAACAGGGTAAAAGGGGGCTAACAAAGAATACAGAGAAACAGATGGACTACAGTCTGTAACTGTAGAACTACAAAGTGCACCTATATAGTAAGTGGAGCTGATAAAATGGACAGTGCGCGTAGAAACAAAGAGGTGGTCATAATGTTATGCCTGATCGGTGTATATAATCATTCATTCATTCAGCTATCATGTGGAAAATCTGTTGCCATGTGTGTCACATATGTAATAGGTCTGGGCGATAGGGCAACGGATATCATTCACAATGGGCAAGTAACCCAATGGCGATGTGTACAAGGACATAATTGCCATGTCAGCAGAAGAACTGAGATAGATGTAACTGTAAATGTAGATTTAGAGAGGACTAATTTACCATTAAACATCTAAAAAAAATACAGTGGGGAAACTGGGGTTCACTTTTAAGAAGTGTGCAGGTTAGCGCACCAGTGGTCAGTTTCACAGAGAGACACAGAAAGAAATCTTTGTTCTGAAACTACCTGTGTTATTTCGCTCTGCTACACTCTGTAATGCTAGCTTTACTGCAGGGATTCTCCTTAATTTACTTTACGTGAATGGAATCAAAAATCAATGCAAATGTGCTTTGGAACTTCCACTCCCCTTTGAAGTGACTCAGTAAAAGTGCAGTAAAAAAATGAGCTAAAATGACTGAAAGTCAGTGTAGAGCAGCTAAGTTAACTCTAACCTGGAGAGAAAGTTCCTTTGATCCTCGTCTATGGTGGGTGTGCAGTATTCTCTGTACAGATTAAGTGTCCCGGTGGTTAACTGAATTATGAAAATGCCAGAAAACTAGTTGTTTTTAAAGTGGAAAACACATGGGCATGTATTTGGAAATCACTTGCAGTCTGAAGTTTCTCCATCAGGGAGTGCTGTTAGCATGCGAGTTGCCACGATCTGTGGCAGAAGAAGCTCAGAAACACACCTGTTTGCAGTAACGTTTATTATAACAACAGATGAAGTGGTTCTCAGTATCATGATTTAATATGTGAGTTTTATTAAAGATTGTCATAAAAAAAAAACAATAAACATGCAGACTAAAATAGAATAAAAAGTAGGTGAAAGCTGCAGCGCAGTGTGTGCATTTATTTATGTATTTTTGGGGGGTGAGGTGAGACAAAAGGGGGGAGTGGTGATATTATCAATAATCATGATTTTTTTTAACCAGGAAATATCCTGCTAATTATTTTTAGATATCGCCCAGGCCTAATATGTAACGGACAAATAAACCTAGAGCAGTGAGTTTTGTACTTTATTTCAAACATTTTGTACACATATGATCACAGCTGCTTGGCTGCTGGCTTTCAGTTCCTGTGTGAGGGGGTTATTGTACAGGTCCCTTGGCAGTTTATACCAGTGTGCTTCCCGAGCGCAGTAATACACAGCTGTGTCCTCAGGCTGGAAGTTTTGACCCTGTAAAAGCACTGTGTTGCTGGACGAGTCTGCAGTGAAGCTGATCTTGCTCTTTAGTGAGTCTATGGTCCCAGTATCACTGGAGCTATGAAAATATCCTATCCATTCTGGCGCTTTTCCTGTTGAGTGTCGTACCCAGTTGGTGTAGCCCTCCACCTACGGCTGTATATCCAGTAATCTTACAGGCAATGGAGAAAGACTGTCCAGGTTTAACAACCATGGCAGCAGGCTGAACCAGCTCAATACATTCAACACCTGTGGACAACAAACATAAAATTTTTCAATATTAAATTAGAATTATAAAGTTTATTAGTAGCCTAGCAGTATCTTCAGTGTGTAGCAACTGTGACAATATGCTCCAGATACACTTACAGGATACAGTTGTTAGCAGCAGCACTAGATGTGTAAGTCTGGAGAACATGTTTTGTGTGGAAGCTGAACTCAGAGGAGCTGCTCAGTGATCTGGTTAGGACTGGTTTAAGTAGTTTTACTGGACGCTGGATTTGCATGACAGTGTTTAGTCATATAAAGAAGAACAGCATATCATTACTGCCATAACATCTCAGAGCCAGTAACTACATAGGAGAAAGGAAAAGATTCTGAAGTTTATGTTAACATAGTAAGATTTTATTCAGATTAATTTTGGGCCATGTCAATGTAAAATGATATTAAGGGCAGCTGTCATTCTGTAATAATACAAAAACGATTGACATATGAGGTTTTGGTATGACAGCGATGATATCTTAAT